GTTGTTTTGGACGCACTGAAGAATCTACTCTAGAAGAGTCGACTCTTCATTGCAGATAGAGTTGATTATATAAGAGTTGAGTATATAAGGTAAAGAATCAACTCCCAAATTTCAGATAGCAGAGTTGTTTTGAATGTTAGGTAAAGTCGACTTTAAATGTGAAGAGTCAACTTTTAAAGAAAACGAGTTGATTCTCAGTTTTAATAATTGACTATAAAGAAAAAATATTTTATATTTTTATCTGAAATATTTATGTAAACTCAAATATATGTCCACATTATTTTTTTGAACGATAAATAAAATTCTACTAGTGTAATTACATTAATTAATATGTTAAATGTTAAGTAATATTTAATATTAATAAAAATCTACTAAGAAATTAAATTAAAAAAATACTTTTTGAAGTATATGAATCAAAAAAATAAGTAGGAGATGGTAATTTGAAGTTTTAACAATATGGTACACGTCGGTGATGAGTTATGGTATTTCAAATTTGAACAACTTTAAGTAACATGGGATATGTTGTAGATTGGAGGGCAAACCTTTTAGCAATATGATGCATGATGCTAAAGGTTCTATATATACTCCACCCCCCACCGAGTTGAGCAATTGTTTCTCCTCCATTTCCTTCCTTTTGCAATTCCTTCTATGCACATGATATTCTCTTTGAATGCCTCCTGCATTTCTTAGCCTTTTTTTTCTTCATTTCTATACAAATTCTCCATATCTCACTCATTTTTTATTCATTAATTATATCATATATTTCTTTGCTCTTATCATAAAATTCTTATACATATATCAGTAATTAAATTAATTTTCATGAACTTCTTCATTTTCTTAAAGCATATATTGTGATTTTATTGTATTCAATATTTTTATGAACATTAAGTGATTAAGTATTTTTTAATTTATTCAAAAATTAATAAAATTATAAATGACTATATATATAATACTTACTAATTTTGGGTTTTTGTTTGTTTTATAGGTAAATCTCAATGAAGTAAATAAATTCAAGTTTCGGATGCTCCCTAAGCCGACATTAATTGCCTTAAGATGTTTCTTTTAAATGTATCTAGCTAAAAGTTTAGATATAGGTGGTCAAAATAAATATCAATTATTTAGTTATAATTTTTTTGTATATTTTATTATATTTAATAAAATTTATTATTTAGTGATTATAATTACAATAATGGATTTTATAATTAAATAATACTTAATTGTTAAAATTTATAATGATAATATAAAAATAATTTATTTAAATAATTTATAAATATTAATGAAACTAAGAAATATGTATCCATAATATTAGTAGAGAAAATTTATGAATTTATAATTTTTAAGAAAAAATAATATAACACTGTACCACTTGTTAATGAAATAATTCCTATAATTGGCATTTGAGTATCACTAACGTGGAACATCTTGTTAATTGGCTTGAGGTGACTCTTTACAACACAATCAACAACAATAAGGAACATGTTGCTGAAAGAAGGATGGTCTACCATTCATGGTGTGATTAGCAACAAGAGATAAGTTGCTGAAAATAAGGTGGCTACTGTTCATTAGATTATCAACAACAAGAGTCTTGTTGCTGAAAGTAGGTGGGCTTACTATTCATTAGATTATAAACAACAAAGATCATGTTGCTGAAAATAAGGTGTTATACTATTCAGAGAATTATCAACAACAAAGGACATGTTACTAAAAAGGTGCCAAAATTCTAGTCACCGATTCTAATAATGATTTTTAGCAATATAAGCCATGTCGGTGAAAAGGGTGCACAATTCCGATGAACAATTTTGATAACGATTTTTATCAACATAAATCATGTCAGTGATAGTATAGTTTCAATAACAAGAAGTATGTTGCTAAAAAGGGTGAAAAAGTTTGGTTGTTGGCTCTGGTGAACTTTTTAACAACATGAACCACCTCAGTGAAACTTCATTTTTAGCAACAAGGGGTATGTTGCTAAAAAGGGTGCCATGAATCAGCAACATGGACATTGTTGCTGATGTATTATCGACCACAGCTTCTCCAACAAAGGCATCAGCAACATGAACCATCTTGCTAATGTACTTTTAGTAACATGGGATGCACTTTCACCAACGTGCTCCAATGTTGCTGAAAAATGGATTTTTAGTAGTGGATTATATATTTAATATAATCAGTTTCTAAATTTAAATATTAATTTTTAATAAGATGAATTTTTAAATTTTAAACTAAATTTTAATTAAATAAAATGATATAGTTTGAGGTTAGAATTTCAATTTATTTTGAGAGTTGAGATTGATATACACTTTTCTCATATATATATATATATATGAAAAATATTTCGCAAGTTGTCCTCCTAAAATTTTTTTGAAGGATATCTCTAAAAACATATCTTCTAATTAACATTTGGAAAAACTAACCATTGGATTAAAAGTTTTACTCATCTAAATCATACATGTCAATTTTTAGATTGTTCTGGTAGACCTAATCACTTCATTGAATACATAAAATTTAACTCTATTAAATATATATGCCAGTAAATAAAGTTTATTTAATCAAAAGATTATAAGTGTTAGATTAATATAAAAATTGACATGCTTGACTTATATGAATAAAGCTTTCAATTCAACGTTAATTTTTGAAAATATTATTTAGAAATTGAGTTTTTAAATAAGTTCTCTGAAAATTTATGAGGACAACTTGCTATACCCTAACTATATATATATATATATATGAAAAGTGTTTGGACAATAATTGGTACACCTTATATTTCAACACCCGATTCAACACCTTCCAGTCAAGGTTTTTAAAACCGGACCGGACCGGCCGGTTGAACCGGTCGGACCGGTACCCGGTCATGAAAATAGTTCGGTTCACATAAAAAAACCGTTTTAGGTCAAAACCGGTCAAAACCGGTCAAAACCCAGTAAAATCGGTAAAAACCGGTCAAAACCGGTAAAAACCGGTAGAACCGGTGAAACCAGAAAAACCACCGGTTCAATTTCTCATGCAATCTTCTTTCAATTTTTTCCAATTTCACCCT